CAAAATGACAACGTTTATGGCTGATGGAACACCTTTTTTGAGTCAAAAGATTCTCAGTAGTTCCTTCTTGTGATAGTATTCAATCTTGGATACCAGGGCCATTTTAGGAATTAACTCTACTTTCTGCCCCTCACAAACCTGGTATTTCTGCCCATGCTTCCCTGCACAAGTTATGTCTGTGTTGGATACCTAGGAATTATAATTCTCTATGGTGGTGACAAGAAAGAGGCATATCATAAACATGGCTCATCTTTAATACTGTGGTGTCTTAACCTACTCAAAGCTACTGATACCCGAGATCTGTCTACTACAGCTTTCACCCTTGCTACCATCAGCTTATTTGTGTTGATGCAATTTACAGCTCATTATTGCTACTAAAAATAGTTACATGGACACTAGTGCTGTAAGCATGCTTTAAAATCCCCATTTGTGCCCAGAGCTATATACAACTCAGTTGCTTCACAGATCTTGAGGGAATGATTAGTGCTACTTGGTTACCATGAATTACAACTGGAAAGTAACTGAGTGGGAAAAGAAAAGGAGGTGACTGACATTAGGAAAAAAAAAGGAAGAGACCAGAAGCAAGAGTCAGAAAACTGGGAAGCAGTGTGGACATTTTACAGGCTGGGCCTAAGCCTGTCAAGTAGAGAAACAGTTAACATACCAACTGGGCCTCAACATTTCTGAAGTGCGTACTAAAGATTGGACTCTACTTCACTGAATGTATATCCTTTGCTGCCCAACATCAAACTGGAACCTTATATAGAATCACATCTGTAAAACATGATGCTTGCAATTCAACCTGTGTTGAATTATAATTTAATCAACATACCTTGCAGGCTTCCATTACTTCAGCTGCATGTTCATGTTTTTTATAGAGTTCGTGTCTTCGATCTGGTTGAGTCATAAAACGTGGTTTCTTTTTAACTGGGTCATCCTCACCAAATGTTGGTGAGTTGGTTTTTAGTAACTGAGTAATATTTGGCACAAAAATAAAAGGCTTAAATACAGACCTAGAGGGATAAAATAGAACATTCTTCACTGAAACAGTTTTAGTACAATTGCCAAGTAAAAGTCAATGAGTCACTAGTTCTTCCATTTCTCCCTTTAGCTTCCTCTGGAGAAAGGCTTCAGAAAACTCAGCTTATTTCTGAGTTAAACGGCACAGGTACATGAAGTCTCTTAACAGGTAAATTAATGTTATACATGTACACAGGAGCTGTAAGATCCTAATTAAGACGTATGCATCCTGCTCTCACTACATGTTTGGAGTTAAAAAAAAATTAACAAAAATTGTCATTTTAGACCCTACTGAAGTTTTTATTACCCAAGTTAATGCATCACCTGTCAGGGTCTGGGGTTCCTGTAAAGAAATGAATACAAGGTAGACTAGAGTCCTGAGGTAAAATGGAGACCATACTTCCAGTGGTCATAAATCCTCCTTCCATATTAATGTCACTCTCTTTATCTCGAAGAATCTCCATCATTGTTTCAGCAGTTATATTGCCTATTTAAGATACAAAACAGGTTAGTTATGTACAGTGCCACTGACTTAAAGAGCATCTACTCTAGAACCTTCCTCGTTTACTCATTTTTCACAGGTAATGTCCATTTTGTTTTGCTGTTTTGTCAAAAAGGCAAGTGTGAAATGACAGTTAGCTAAAGAGAACATCTTTCATATTAAGTACCAGGGTAAGAAGCTACTATATGTCATGAAAGCAATCAATCACCCACCCCATATAGATATACCAAAATAAGCAACATGTTGAAAATACCAAATGAGATTACTATTTTATTATCAAAATATCCTCCTTTGAAAGGAAAATGACAATGAGCTACTGTATTGGACTCAAAAGTGTTTTGCAAATCCCAAACACATTTGTTAAGTGTAAGACTAGCAAACAGTTGTTCACATAGTAACTTTCCAGATGAAAATTAATAGTTTTGGATTAAAAGCTAAACTTTAAGTGCTGTGTGGGAGTTAAGCAGACAAAACACAATATTGGTTATTGGGATTTGTACACAGATAATGCCACTAGACTACAGTGAAAATGTAAAAATAATGACAACTGTGTGTGGATTTCCTGTGCATCATGTTGAAAAATGCAACTCTAAGAGACTAGAGAGTGTTTCTTATCATTTGATTTCCCAGGTAATTTAGATTTCAAGATGACAGCTAAAATGATGCATTAGCAAAAAAACAACTCTTATGCCTTGAATGAAATGGAACCACACTAGTATATCCATTTGTGAGGAGGGCAACATAATTCTTTGTCGAGCAGCCCACAGTTGAATAAAGTATACCATTCAGGTAGTTTGGGGTTCTTGTGGAAATTTTTCTGAGACAGGGCAAAAGAGACCCCTTCTTTGGGACTGTCTGTATCTGTAAAACTTCTCATAGTACACATTTTAAAGTAGTGCTTAATGTTCAAATACTGTTGATATTGTATCAGTTTGTGTAGGAGTTCCTAGTGAAGTATGCCCGATATTTTTTACAGATGGCAGTTACAGGCATTGCCTTTTTTCTGGTATAACACATGATGGGTCACACAAGAACACAATCACATAAAGAAGGAAATCCTAATAATCTATTAATTGGTTTTTCCATGTTAACGCTGGCATGGTCAATCTTAAAATTCGTAACTTTACTACAGTCACTTCAAATAATTTATCTCTGAATTAGGATTTGCATTTTAATTTGTCATGATGTTTTTAATTGGAATGCTAAAAATAGTTGCAAAGACTTCTGCACAGCTAGAAAACTGCCCTACTTGGCTAATTTTCCCTGGAAATGATGCAAGTTGAAATCCATACCTGACTTCCTAAATAGCGTATGAATATTTAACTGTGCCCACACTCTTGAGAATAGTGGGCATAACTATCTGGGGGAAGCCTGAAAAAGACAAAACCAGCTATATGAAAGAAATGACTGAGGAGGTAGTCTTCTTATTCAATCACCAACTAGTCCAGCAGAGAATAAGTAGTACATTTCTCTTTTCTAAACTACTTAACTAAACTTCTAAATATATATATTTGATACTCCTAAGTTCACCAAATAGAATACTCAGTGGCTGCTTTTCAGATGTAAAATATTATAGCTATTTTAAAGGGTTTGTCCCCACAGGCTGAAGATCAGTGGTCAGAAAGATTTGTTTTTAAATCCCTTGGGAGAAAAAGCTTAGACAAGTAAAGTATGAAGCCAGTGGATTTTCTCTAAACTAAATAGTCTGAACTAAATAGCTTTTAAGGCATGCATTTAAAAACACATCTACATGAAATTAAACTACATCAGCCCGATAACTTGAACACCTAGCGTGATTTAAAAATGGCTGAGGTAAATGTTTGAAATTGGGGATTTAGAATGAAAGTGTTGATAGAACCTTAACACTACTATAATACAGGTAAATACAGGTATTATGAAGATATGTTCAGTATTCAGAGCCTGCAGTTCCCAGAATGAATGCAGGATTTACATGATCACTGGAGTAGGATAGCTACAGGCAATTCACTCACAAGCATGAAATAAACACTGAAGCTGAGCTGGCAGAGCTCAGCAAAATAAACAAAAAACACACCAGAGAGCAATTTTATTTAGATTCAAATTAATTATTTCAAATGAACAAGCAAATAGAGTGCAATTTTGTACAGTTTGAAGCATAACTAAAAGCTGCCACGAAGCAGCAGTTGGAAGAGATGGTGGCAGCTTCTCTCTAAAGAAATACGTAAGTTCATAATTACGAATTTCTGCTGAAAGTACTGTAAGATTCTTTATTCTGTTTTCAGAGTGTTTTTTCTTAGGTGACATAAGTTTAACAGTTACATTTTTAAACTGGTTTTTAATGTTGGTATCATCAGGTAGAGTCTAAAAATGAATTAGGCTAAGTAGAATATGGTATTTTCTAACCTTTTTTCCCCAAAATCAGCCCTCCCCCCCAAATTGGAGTGCATATTTTGATCAAAACTAAGCTAAAATGTTGTTTAGTCAGGCTCTGCTTTATTATGTTTTATTTTATTATTTTGTTTTATTAATTCTCTGTTGCTGTAAGTCATCTTGAGCCTTCATTGGAAAGGATGGCATATAAATTTCATAAATAAATACTCAAGGAAGCTGTTTTCTTCACTGAAAAAGGAGCACTCCTAGAGAGACTGTGCATGCCATGTGGGTGCCAGGATGGCTGCTGCTTGTGTCTGATCAGCAAAGCGAAGGGTAGTAGTCTTGTTAACCCTCTCACAGCTGTAGCTATTGGCTGAGCACTGTATCTATCTTGTGTTCAAAGCAGCAAGTGAGCTGTTGTTCATACCTTGATGAAGCTTACGATATGGAAACATTTCGTTTACAGGAACTTATATAGAGAACTGCTTACAGTAAAGAAGTAATTTGCTACTGCCCTTTGCAAAGGCCCGAGGCCTAATCTTGCGTGACACAGCAAGTCCTCCTGGAAACATAGCATCCAAGTATGGAATCGCAGGAGACAGTCTGGCATACCAGGAAGTTCCTGATGCCATACTTTGTGGACACTCTGGCCACGTCCACACAAGCATGGACATTTGTTTCCTCAGGACAAGAAACAGTGGCACACTTTGTGCCTCTGCTACTTGTCCATGGGGCATGCCTGTCCCATGCGCCCTCTGGCGCATGGCAGGTTACCCTGGGTGGGGTAGGGGAGGCTGGGACTAGCAACTATGCTAGCCCCAACAGCCTTACCCCGGGGTCCTGGGGGATTCCTGCGGCTGCAGCCGTGGCAATCCTGCCTCTTGGAGCCTCCAGCAGCTGGAGTGTGGCCCTGGCCGGTCAGGCTCCGGTTTTGGGCGGTGCGTGCTACCCATGTGTACTGCCCGGCTTTTTTCACATCATTTTTTTGACCCTGGGATCTCCCAGAGTCAACCCCTCTCCCCTTGCAACATAGAGAACACCTGAATATGTGGTGTGTGTCATGGCAGATGGGTCTGTGGAGCCACATACCACATGGCCACGCTTGTCTGGATACAGCCTCTGTTTCCAGGAGGATTTACTCTATATCAGAGTCAACCATAACTCTGGAAAAATCTTTTTTTCTACATTCTTTTGCCTTCCAAAAGCAAGGTATATGCCTTATTTGGGAGTGTGCTGTATGTGAAAAAATATGATAATATTTATATGAATACAACACTCAATGGTTTCTTGTTTTAGACACTATAAATCTATATTCTCTGCTACAAAGTTCTATGCAGTCTTGTTTTTGTAGCTGTGAATTTAAGTCTACTTTTTATTTTCTCATAAAGTAGGTGGTTGGTAAGTGGCCCATTAATACAAATCCTTGTGAAAGATACAACGAGACCCTGACTTTACTTGGCTTGACCTCTAGGTGTAACTGCAGCTTTGTATGTTTTTTGTATACCTGTTTTCTCTAACCCCAAAATGGCAAAAACAATTAAAGAGCTTAAAAACAAACTAGACTAATTTTTAAAAATACTATCACTCCATCATTTTCAAGTCACTTAAAATCAACTGAATGTATTTATAGCAGATATATTAATCAGATTTGATTTTAAAGCATACAGATTAGTAAATATTTGTTGTCATTTTCTTGAGTCAGATAACAACAAAGGTACCTTTGTGTTTATTCAGTAGCTTGTAACCTTCACAGTATCTGCCCCTTGACGTAGTCATTGTGGCTGTATTTACGTAGGAATACACAGCAGCAAAATCAAATTCTTTTTCACCATCCCACCAGCCTTTGCTCTTCGCATATGCTCTCATTTCTGGGTGTTCCCGATCGATCTTGGTGGTTATGGAGAATTGGTTGGAAATATTCCGCACACCCTCTGTTTCGTAAGTGGGAAAAGAATGTATTTTTTGTATGTTATAGATTGATTTTCTTCCCATGTCTTATTTGTCTATGGTAAGCTTACTAGAAAATGTGATATATTTAGCAACTTCTTAAACTTTTTATTTTTGACTTTTTTTTGTCTCAAGTATCCAGACCATATACAAATTATACTGCTGCTTCCTCAAGCAGCTCCAAGATTCATTCTTTTAATCTTCACACCCATATTCTTTGAAGAGGAAGGCTAGTGTCGGAATATAAAGAAACACTGAACAGTCTTAAAAACTGAGCTTCTTAGTTCTTGTAAATAACTTATTAAAGTCATATTCTCTATCTGCCAGTTAATTCCTCTTGTTGAATTTTTTCTGATGCTCCCTATTACTGTATCAAATTTTACACATCTATATACTGCCCTCAAAACTTCATAATTCTACCATTCCCATTTTACCATTATCAAGTTTCACATTGCATAGGGTCCTCCCCTCCCATCCATGAGTGTTCCCAACTTCTTCCAATTTCATCGGTCTTCCATCCTAAATAGCCTTATGTATGTTAAGGCCTCCATCACCTTATCCATAAGCCTCCCCCCATCCATTTAAGCTCTTAAAGAGCCATTTTTGTTGTATGCCATGCTGTTTCTAGTTACCTAAATACCAGTTTCCTCTGCCACATCCTAATAAAACAGCATATGAAAAGCAGGGAAATGCTAATGCTACTGAACTGGGAAGATTTAAAATCCTAGTAAAGATTGTTAACCATACCTTCTATTTTTTCTGCCGCCCAGTATTTTCCAGAAGTCTCCAATACCCAAGCCTCCTTTCTGTCAGCTATCAAAAAGCTATTATGGTAGGTAAATACCATTTGACTCTCCATACAGTTTCCACCCTGTCCATATTTTTCTAGCAAGTCAACAATGACAGTAAGGGCCTTTTCAGCTGTATCAGCTCTTTCAAGTCCAAGTCTAAAACAAAATTAAGATATTTGATTTTGTAATAATAAGCCTTAAAATTGTCTGCAACCTTAATATTCAAGTTAAATCTGAACAATAACAGTGATATTTGGGGGAGACCTCTTCACGGGGCACAAGGAAAAAGCTGCCAGACCTGACAGCTGAGAGTCATTAAACTGCAGCCTGGTGGAACTAACTTCCTGCCCAGCCTGTACTGAGGAGGGTTATGCTAGTCTCAGAGACTGTCATTACACTATGACACCTTCATTACATTTTTCTGGCCAAATGAACTAGGCAACGATAGGTGGCCTTTCTCTGTTTCAAAGTACGGGGCCTGTGACAGAGGCTGAAACTAAAAAACTGGTAGTACTTCAGGCAGTTGAGGAGACAGAGAGAGACTTAAGAAGGCCACAGCCCCAATCCTCAAGTGCAACTGTGGCGGCTAGAATTTTGATGGGTACCAAACCACTCAAAACCCCTTGAGGACCTTCCTTTGTAGAGTCTCAGTGACAGGTCAGTGTCTGTGGATTAGGTATCTGTGTCAAGAAATGTTTGTATCTGAAGACGAACAGAACAGGCAGAAAGAAGCCTAGCCTTCAGAAGCAGGGAGCCAACGTAGTAAGAGTGGCTTATCATAACTTGACAGACATGAGGCCAGACCTCCTCCAGACTTCCCCTGAACTGCCCCCATCAACCTAGCTGTGTGGGGGAAGAGTTGCAAGATAGTCTGAGGTGATACCTGCTGTGCCAGTGGCTATAAAAACTGCTCTGCCTTAACCGCAGCAGCCCAAGCACTGACCACACGTTTGAGTTGGACTGCGCGCCTGGAGTTTAACCCCATGCATTTGAATACTGTCAGCCTCTCCGCCAACCTGACGAGATCCATGCCCAGGAGAGCTTCTTCGTCCTGGATTTCTTCTCTCCCCCACACGGCTTCGTTCCCGATGCAGACCCCGTGCTCGTTGGCTCCCATTTCAGCCCCCCACAGCCAGGCCGGACGGCTCAGGACCACGGCGTGCGTGAGGGGCGCCTGCTCGATCTCGATGTAGGTGCACTGTAGCAGGGACAGGCACAGGCCCAGGCCCGGGGGACTCACTCGGCTTCCCCAGGCTGCAACCCCCACCTGCCCGCCCGCCCGCCACCCACTCCCGCTCTGCTTGGAGGGCAGCGTACCGGGCGCGGGCTCCCGGCGGGTTGCCCCCCGCTCCCCCCAGGCCAG